GCATTAGTTTGTTTTCAGTTCGTGATGGATGCATTCACTTTGTGATGGTAGTACATATGCTGAAATTCTTGTATACCATGCCCTACAAATGCCATTCTGCGAGCTATATGGCTTGAGGAATCTCAAAACTCGTAGTGTATACTACATTTCTGAACCTGTGCACGCGCACTTGTACACTTCTGGACCCATGATTCATGTGGGCTTAGTGTTTTTTGACGTGACATTGAAGAACACTCGAGATAAGCATGAAGCGAACGAAATGAAATTAAGATGCCGGTCGAGATGCTGAGCTGCGTCGCTGTTTGTTTGGCTTATCCCATGTTCCAATCTGACACCTCACGATTGGGTCCCGTTGCTAGCCTGTCCAGACTTAGGTAGTCCAAGACCTACCGGCCGGTCCAGCGCCTAGCTGGACTAAAACTTTACATGCAGTGAGTGACCGGCAGAGATGCAAGTGTAATGTTTCACTTATATGTACAGTGGTTGAGTTAACTTCATGTTGTAACTTCATGTGGAGTACCCTGATAGATGAAACTACAAGCTAGTCTTGCTGGCCATCTTGCAGACGAGGTTTAGACTTGCGTTGTGATGTTGATTTCAGTTATGCCCGCCCTATGGTGCTCTTCTGCCGTCGATTTCAGTTATGCCGCCATGTGGAGCACTCAGACTGTCCATGGCCCAATAATGGACATGATGAACACTCATTGCACCCATGATTATCTCGCTTTCAAGAACAATTTATGTTTATCCTCTTGTCTGCTGACAAATTCGTTTGATTATCTCGCTTTCAACAACAATTTATGTTGACCCGCAAAAAAAAGAACAATTTATGTTTATCCTCTTGTCTGCTGACAAATTCGTTTGATTTTTAGACGTATGTTTTGCACACGGAGTGTTTGGTTTCGCGTGGAACATTTGGAGAAATTGGAGCGATGCTACAAGATGTCGTTTTTCTGTGTGGTTGATGCACATGACGTGAGCGTCAAGTGCATGCATTAACTAAATTGTACTAGTGTTCTTGAGCAAAACTAAATTGTATAGTGGGTAGTAAAATATATAGCAGTAAAATGAAAATTGGCGCCTGATGCATGTGCGCCACAGTTTCTTTTTAGGGAAGGTGCGCCACAGTCAGCCCATGTACATCCGCCGCGTATACGCGGGCCTTCTGGCCGCTGGATTTTTTATTTTATTTCGTTTGAGGATTGCTGCATTTCTTTTCAATCGAAAAAAAACACATATAGGACACTGTCCGCCGGGCCCGGTGTACGCACACGTAGCCAGCCAGCCAGGCCGCGTGGCAGGTGTGGTGGAGCCTTCATACAACTCGAAGCAGCACGGGACAAGTAGTAGTACAGGACACTGTCCACCGGGCCCGGCTCGGCTGTCAGGAAGTTGCAGTTGCACGACGACGACGAAATCTGTACGCTCCGTCTGCTGCCGCCGTTCATGCTTCCCTCCCGCCAAAGAAAGCCTCGGCGGCTCAGCAGCTGGCGGCGAAATTTCTCGAACAGCCTGGGCGGGACGGACGGAGGGCCCATCCTCCGCCATCTCCCTCCGCAACGATCCAAAACGGCCGGCCTTGGATGCGTGCCGGACGACGGATCACGCTCCGGCCTCCAGCAGTAGCCGTTGCTCCCGCCGCTGGGCCCGCCGCGGCGGTTGCAAAGGCGGCAGAAAGGACGAGCGCGCCAGCCCGACTCACCCGCCATGTCTGCCGCCGCACCTCCCTCTCCCTGGCAGCCTGTACTTATCCGACCTCCGCCGTGCACGCCTCCCCTTCCTCCCAGCGTTTACGCAGGAACCTGCGCGCCAAAGTTGGACAAAAGTTTTCACCGGGGAGCAGCGGCCTTGGATCTGACCGAGCTCCGGCGTGCTTTACACACGCTTTTTACTTGCGTGCGCCACCGGACCACGGTCCACGGCAGCGGGGCACATGCGCTGCCGTTCGTACCGCCGTGCTGCATGCAGCAGGCGCGGGCGCGGGCGTGGGCGGGTCCAGCCCAGCGGCGCTCGGGCCAACTCCATCGTGCGACCCCGAACGGACTTTCGTTTTGTTCTGTTTTTGTCTTTTTGGGTAGGGATTTGCAATCGTATCTGGGCCTGTCCTGGGATGCGGTGACCGTGCGCCCAGCGCGCTGCCGCATCCTTTTGCCCCATCCTGTCCGTCAGGGCCAAGAAATGCCCAAATTTACATTAAAACTAGTTTCGAACCCAAATTTTTGTCTGAAAATTAAATAGTTTTACAACCCAATTGAAATTGTCTTTAATAAAATAGTTTTACAACCAAATCGAAATTGTCTTGACTGAACATAAAATGGACAAATAAATTTATTGGTTGCCAATGTGATCCCACACGTGCTCAACCAAGTCATTTTGAAGATTCACATGAGTGTGCCAATCACGCATCTCACGGTGAAATTAGACAAACTGTTCAAATGTGGCCGGGTCTTGGTGCAGGGGCTCAATATTTTCACCTTGATAATCAAACCCTTGGTCGAAGATACTCTCATCACGCTCGTCCTCGACGATCATGTTGTGCATGATCACACAAGCAGTCATCACCTCCCAAAGCTTCCCTTCATCCCATGACAGTGTAGGGTTACGAACGATACCCCACCGGGATTAAAGCACACCAAAAGCACGTTCCACATCCTTTCTAACACTCTTTTGCATTTGGGCAAATCTCTTTCTCTTCTCACCTTGGGGTTTCGAGATTGTCTTCACAAAAGTTGACCACTGAGGATATATACCATCTGCTAGACAGTATCCCTTGTTGTAATGGTGGCCGTTGATCTCAAAGTTGACAGGTGGGGAGTGGCCGTCTGCAAGCCTCGCGAAGACTGGAGAACGCTGCAGCACGTTGATATCATTGTGAGAACATGCCATGCCGAAGAAAGAATGCCATATCCAAAGATCTTGTGATGCCACCGTTTCTAATATGACAGTGCACCCGTTAACATGCCCCTTGTACTGGCCCTGCCAAGCAAATGGACAGTTCTTCCACTCCCAGTGCATACAATCTATGCTGCCAAGCATATCTGGAAAGCCTCTAGCTGCGTTGGTCGCCAACAGTCTCTCTGTATCAGCGGCAGTTGACTGCCTCAAGTACTCTGGGCCAAAGACCTCGATCACAGCCTGGCAAAACTTGTACATTGACATCAGACATGTTCTCTCACTCATATGCACATACTCATCCACCAAATCGTCTGGAATTCCATATGCAAGCATGCGGATGGCCGCGGTGCATTTCTGGTAGGAGGAGAATCCAAGCTTGCCAAGGGCATCCGTCTTGCACTCGAAGTATGGGTCATGAGCAACCACTCCCTCTCGGATACGATTGAACACATGCCTTGCCATACGAAAACAGCGACGAAATTTATCCGGCCTGAAGAGCGGGGTGTTGGCAAAGTAATCTGCATAGAGCAGGGCGTGGCCTCTCTCCCTGTTGCGGTTCAGGTTGGGAGTACGGCCAGGGAGTGACCCCCTATACCGAGGAAGCTGCCGTTGAATATGGTCGTGAATGACCAGTGCAGCCACCACAAGATCGTCATCATCCGACGACGAATCGTCCGATGAATAAAGGAAGTGATGGAAGAAAAACTCGTCTCCACTGTCCATACCTTTGTTGGCAAAAGGTCGAACACCTTGCGGTCGTGGTGGCGAAGAGGCCGCGATGATCACCTCGACGCAGCAGGGTGGTTGCCGGCCGGCTACAGGCCGCTCTGGAGCTCTCATCGGAATCTGCCTCGGCCGCCGTGGTACGTCGCCGGCAGTCGTGTCCCCTCTGCCACCGGCAAGGACGGCGACGGCCAAACCTCTTCCGATCGACGACCAAAACTACGGTGGAAGCGCGGGCGTGGTGG